TCGGCGGGACCAGATTCCACTCATAAACCGCTCTTCAGAGTTTAGGTTCAGCTCAGTTCTTCCTCACTCAGTATCTATTCGACTACCGCAGTGGAAAGACCTATACCTGAACTTAGTGTAGTAATATACAAACCCAACCAACATGAAGTTCTCCTGCTTCAAAATCAATTTCGGAGCTAAATCCGACCAAAGAAATCTACTATCCAACCAACTACTGGAGAAAGAACAATCCTGTTTAATTAAGAAGAAATCCGTGAAGAAAAATAAAAAAGTTCTCAACAACTCGAAACCTGGTAATGCGCAAGATTGTGTCGATATCAATGCAAAATCTTCATCTTGGTTTCTGCCAAATGTTTCAGAAGAAAAATCCGCGGAAATTCTCGAATCCTTGGTTCCAGGACGCTTTTTAATCCGCCAAATTCAAAATTCATTTATCCTTCATCTCCGGTGTGAAGCTGGATCAGAGAGTTATCTTATCCTGGTTCAAGATACGGGTTTAAGATTCTCCGGAGCTGATAAGCAGTTCTCAAACCTTAGTTCTCTTGTGGTTCATCACTCCATCATGCAGGAGCAACTCCCAACCTTGCTCCGGGTAGCAGAGGACATACAGGAGGAGGAGGAGATTGATTTTATAGATATAGATGTGGACCCGGAGTACAATGTTCTAGTTTCTAGACTTCAGACCCAGCTCAACTCATTCTAATCTTGATCAATAATAAACTCAGTCCTGTGATACAGCCATCATACATTCAGAATTCAAACTTTATCCTAAAATATCAAAAGATTTACAACAGTAGGTTGCATAGATATAAGGATTATAAAATCGGAGTATGAGAAGAGAGATCAGTTCTTTACAGAAGATTAAATCAATTATTTTTCTTAAAATGAATAGTTGTCAACTTGTGTTGATATTTGACTCGGGTATCAATCATCTCAAATATGTTTTGAAAGAATTTGATCGAACGATGTAAAATATATTTTAACAACTAGTTGATATAGAACAAACCTTCAAAATTGATCGATCTCCGCCAATAAAGATAAAAAGATAATCAAATGTAAATTGGTAGAAAAAATAACGATTTAAAACCAATCTGGAAAAGATTAAAAACCTGTTGCGGATTTTAGATAGAATTTAAGTTGCAGTTTATGACCTATGTTTTTAAACAGTTTTTATTTTAATATTTTATAGCAAAGTTAAATTGCAAGCCATAAAAAGAAAGCTTTCTCATTAATTGTATTTTTCCATTGCTCCATTGTGAAGTAAATCTGCAATTGGGTTTGCGGAAAATCTGTGTTTTAAGATTCATAAAAACATCAATTTTCAGTTGATGGTAGTAAAAAATACTTCTTACATGCTTTATAAAAATTTGTGTAATTAAAGCTTAAAAAGCACGGAGTTGGACAAACAGATGTCATTTTTGGTTGATATATATGGAAGATGGTAGACATTTGAAGTGGGATTTACTAAAAGTTTGGAATGGTATACTATATAGAATGCCAATGAGAAGATAGTAGAATTGTAGACTAAAATATAGATAGTAGAATGACAGATAATTGATAGTTGCTGGTAGAATGGCAAATAATAGAATGGCAGATAGTAGAATGACAGATTTTAGATAGTAGAATGACAGTTAGTGGATAGTAGAATGACAGTTAGTAGATAGTAGAATGACAGTTAGTTGATAGTATACAATGATAGATAGTAGATAGTAGAATGGTAGAGGATGGTAGAAGGGTAGAGGATAGTAGAATGGTAGATGATAGTAGAATGGCAGATAATTGTTAGTATATAATGGTAGATAGTAGGTAGTAGAATGGTAGATAGTTGATAGTATAGAATGGTAGATAGTTGATAGTATAGAATGGTAGATGATAGTAGAATTGTATTTTTAGATAGTTGATATTAGAATGGAAGATAGTTGATAGTATAGAATGGTAGATGATAGAAGAATTGTATTTGTAGATAGTTGATATTAGAATGGCAGTGAGTAGAACGTAGAATGGTAGATAGTAGATAGTAGAATGGCAGATAGTAGATTGTAGAATGGCAGATAATAGACATTAGAATGGTAGCTAGTAGATAGTAGATAGTAGAATGGCAGCTAATAGAAAGTAGAATGGTAGATAGTAGATAGTAGAATGTAGAATGACAGATAGTAGAAAGTAGAATGGTAGATTTAGATAGTTGAATGGTAGCTAGTGGCAAATGGTAGATATTTGTGGATAGTAGATTTGAATCATAGAGCGTAAATGGAAGATAATTTTAGACTATAAATGGCAGATAGTAGATGATAGATCGTAAATATTAGATATTGGTTATTGGTAGACATGGTAGAATGGTAGACATGGTAGAATGATAGATATATAAACGGATATCCACTTGAAAATAATATCATTTATTGTTTGTAAATAGTAGAAAATTCCTAGTTTTACCTCCATCTTTATTTTGATTAATCAAAATATTTTCAAAGGACACTTCAGGGGAGGGGGGGGGAGGGTGATTGAGGGAGTGGTTGATGGGTCGGTACTTGTAAGGATAAGAAGAGGGGGGAGGGAGGCGGGGTATAAATAATAATATAGATCTATAAATCTAAAGGAGTGGTTCTGCTCAATAAGAATAAACATCCTGGCCATTGTCCGCCATTATTGTGTCGCGTGCATTGAAATCTCCAAGAATTCGTCAAAATCTCCGCTGATTTTCATTCCACAGGTTTTATACCTTTATTGGGTTTATAAATCCTTCAATAAATATCTCGATAATATCTTACTCGTTGAGTCTTCTTAGATCTTACTTTATTTTATAACCAGGGCCTTATAAACTTTAGATATAGGACAGGGTGTCCTAAACTTTATTATTTAGGACAGGGTGTCCTAAACTTTATTATTTAGGACAGGGTGTCCTAAATTTTAGGTCTGGGGCAGGGTGTCCTAAACTCTAGATCTATGAAAGGGTGTCCTAAATTTTGGATCTAAGACAGGGTGTCCTAAAATTTAGATCTATCACAGGGTGTCCTAATCTTTATATCTAGGACAGGGTGTACTAAATTTTAGATCTAGGAAAGGGTGTCCTAAACTGTATATCTAGGACAGGGTGTCCGAAACTTTATATCTATGACAGGGTGTTCTAAACTTTAATTCTAAAACAGTGTGTCCCAAACTTTACTATTTAGGACAGGGTGTCCTAAATTTTTTGATCTATGAAAAGGTGTCCTAAACTTTATATCTAGGACAGGGTGTCCTAAAATATATTTTTTAGGACAGGGAGTCCTTATCATTACTATTTAGGACAGGGTGTCCTAAACTTTATATCTAGGATAGGTGTTCCTAAACTTTAGATATAGGACATCATGTCCTGACAATAGATCTAGGACAAGGTGTCCTAAACTTTAGATTTAGGTCATTGTGTCCTAAACTTTAGATTTAGGACATTTTGTCCTGACTATAAATCTAGGACAAGGTGTCCTAAACTGTGTAGGAGTAAATGATACAGGTGGCTTGGTGTAGTATATGAAGGGGGGGGATATAAAGACACCCCCCTCCCACTATATGAAGAAGGGGGGGGGGGTATAAAGACCCCCGCCCCTCAGTATAGGATTCTGATCACATGCCGTGTCTAAGATTGCCTGCTGGGTACCAGATTGCCAAACCATTTTATTCAGAATCGGAATCTTGCAATTATTCGGATTTCAGAACCCCGTTGACCCTAAGGCCCCCCCCCCCCCTCCTTACATTCTTCTCCTTTAACAGATACACAGGGTGTCTCAACAAAAAATAAATATAAATTTTAAACTTTATGAAATTTTAAAAATATAATTGCTGCTAATCGCCAACGCTTTTTATTTAATCATACTTTTTTGTCATCAAGTTTTTTTTTCTGAAAGCCCCTGTTCATTGCACAGTGCACATATAGTATTCAACCTGTCGATGTAAGATCTCACGATGTTATTAAGATAGTTTTCGAAGATTCTTGAAAGATTATTATGTGAGAAAATAAATTCCGAGCGTTAAGGTCTCTTCACGATGAACAATATAATTAGCTCAGCAACTTAAGAAAGTTAATGTGCATTGTACAAGATATGTACAAGATATGCACAAGATATGTATAAGATATGCATAGGATATGTACAAGATATAGACAAGATGTTCACAAGATATGAACACAAGATATGTACAAGATATGTATAAGATATGTACAAGATATGTAAAAGAAATGTACAAGATAAGTACAAGATATGCAAAAGAAATGTACAAGATATGTACAAAATATGTACTAGATGTACAGGATATGTACAAAATGTGTACAAGATATATACAAGATATGTAAAAGATATGTACAAGATATGTACAAGATACATACAAGATATAGATAAGATATGTACAAAATATGTCCAAGATATGTACAAGATATGTACAAGATATGTACAAGGTTTGTAAAAGATATGTACAAAATATGTACAAGATATAGATAAGATATGTAAAAAATATGTAAAAGATATGTACAAGATATAGATAAGATATGTACAAGATATGAACAAGATATGTATCTTCGTCTCTGCTTTATAATTTTATATATTTAAATCAAAGATTTAAAACAAGTTTTTTTTACAAAAAAAAGGGATAAAAGCAAAAATAAAATCGATCAAATTTATAATATATTATAGTTAGAGAGATGTAACGAAAATAGAAATGTTACATTGGTTTGGCGCAGGAAGTCGTTTATGACGCTTGAGTTTGGACGTTTTTTAATTAATAAAAAAATATGGCTCTTTGACAAAACTGCACTATGAGAAACCACACCTATTTACAAAGTCTGATGGTAACGGGCAACACCAGGATTATCTGTGTTCTAGATAGATCCTAATATTTATCAGTTCTGTAACAGATAAAGCGCACTAAAACCTTGAAATGCCGAGTAGGATGTTTAATCAGTTTAGGAATGCGGGAAAATATTTAATATTTCAACTTATAAAACATCTTCTATACAGTAGTATAGGAATACAGTGGACCTTTTCTCTGCTTTTTTATTATTATTATTATTATTATAAATGTCTCTTAAGATTTTGTTATAGTTTATTTTTTATATTATACTATCTATTTATTCTATTATTTTTAATTTATTTCCATACAAAAATTTCTGAACACGGTAATATATAGGCTGTAATTTTTCAACAACGAAATTCTTTCATGTCTGTGACAAAAATGTAAAAATTGAATTTTTAACTCTTATTGCAATTAAATTTAGATACACTCACTTTATGTTAAATACTTAAAAGAAAGTGGTAAAGTCATAAAGATCGATTCTTAAAAATTGTATTAAAGAGTTTCGTTTTTACTAATTGAAATCCAAAGAATGAATAAATACAAAAAACATTATCATCTTCTATTTATGGTTCAATAAACGAGGGGGGGGGGTGTGAGGGGTTATAATTTATAATTAATTTCATAATTTTCAGATAGCTGACGAATCTGACAGACCCAGCGAGCTGCATTTGTGATTTCGTTCAAAAAAAAGAACAGCTAAAAATATGTTTTCGCGGGCCTTGATTAAAAAAAATAATTTAGAGCTTTTCTTGTTGGATGTAAACATACTGGTTTATACGGTGTCTTTGGCTTTTATCAGGTCGAAATATTGCGAGGTATTTATAAACAATACCGGCAGCAGCCATTATATTCCTCCAAAAGATAATGCCGAGAAGACATGACGCAAAAATGCCGCGTCAGTTGGTCAAATATTTATTCAATTTATAATTTTATAAAATTTAGG